CTAATATATATTTCTAATAAATATACTTAGTAAGATAAGGAGTAAGTTCTAATATTATAGGCTAGGCTATAGAGAAACCTATAACTAGGTATATATAATAAGAACTTACTAAAGAACTAGATTAGGGGGTCTATAGGCCTAGATAGAAATATCTAATTATATACTATAGCTAGTAAGAGGTTATATAACCTAGGCCATTAGTTCATAAGTTACTTTATATTGCAAGTGCTAGGCAGCATAAGCATACCATGGGCCTTACTTACAACATTATACAGCTGTTATAGGACAGGAAAATCTGGTTACTTAGCTATAGTCTTAGTAAAGGGAAAGCCAGGAGATTCTACATAGGATAAACACCCTTGGATGATGTGCCATTACCTATGCCTTACAAGATTACCATAAACATTTCTTTTTTCTTTTTTCTTTTTTTTTTCTTTGATTTCATAGGGATGTTGTTAGGGACACACTATTATATATACCTATAATCACATGCTAGTTATTTATCAATAACTATAGCATAGTTAGGAAATATAATAATAGTCTTCCCCATCATACCACCTCACATATAGTGTGCCCTACCAGTTGCTGTATCACTACCCTATATAATACCTATCTCTTTTCCATACTCATTAGCAATAAGTAATAATAGATGAAACTAATATATATTTACTCACATACTACCAATTACTATTTCCCCCAATCCCCCATACCTTAAACCAGCTTAAATCTTACTTGATCAAGCCAAGTATGGGTGGGTGATAAGGTATTTATAACTGTATTATTAATGTAATCTGCACATCAAGGTGTAAAGGGGAGAGAGAGCAACAACTAAACAACGTGGCCTTATTCCTTATACCTCTCAGCTCCTTATGAAGAGCCTAACTAACCAGTTGCTCATTCCAAGCTAGTAACATAATTAGTAGGCTCCTACAGAATATATATAAGGTTAATGCTTACACCATCCTCCTACTATAGGGAACATACCACAGTGCATAAAAACCACAATGGTAAACCACAAAGCCTAACTGGCCTGACCTGGAGCTGACCCGTCATACATTCTATAGGCTCAAACTCCCCAGCAGCGGAGAGCAAATGAGAGATATGCAAAGCATGAGGCTGCAAAACGAGGCAAAGGGCAGACCACAGCAAAACCAAAACAGAATTCAAAGTCCCCAGTGTCCACTGGATGGCTGGGTATGTACCACACAGCAACTGGAAGCCATCTACAGGCATGATCAAATAGCTAAGACATGATAGTTATTCTTGCATTTGTTGTATGCGGCGGAATTGCATTCGAACTCCTGAGAGTTATTCCAGCGATATGGTCAGCTGCAACTGCGATGTTCGGTCGCCTCATTGCCTAGGTAGCTAGCGGTGCGATCATCTCAAGCCTGTAAAATACCGACTGCATGCTTTTTTCGAAGTATGCCACCCATTCTTCAACCTTAATGTTTTCAAACATTTCGAAGCCACACCAGATTTACCTCTGTTGAAGATTCATCTCAGAACGAATACCAAGCAGACATAAGCCAGAATATACTCTCATGCGTATGGGGTCAGAGAATCCTGAATATCTCTCACACGCATATTACATTCATGCTGCTCCTTCCAAAGGGCTTCATGCCTCCGAACCATAGTCTCCAGGCTGTAAAACCATCAAAGATAGATAATCGCTGTATGATCTATGCATCATTGGCAGATGCCACTATTCAATGAAAGTAGGATACGAAATTCACCTCACCCAAGGTCTGTGCCGCACTGTTGCCTTCTGCTTTTGGGGAGGTCGCAGATAATCACGTCCCGCGGGTACCATCCTTTCCAGGTTGAGTTGTATCCTGTAATACAGTGGCAGTCGGATGTCCCCTCACTCTGGCCTTCCTGCTTTTCTTTTTCTTCCTCACAGGTGTACCCTCTACAGGTATGCCTTCCGGGTGGATTCGCTCCGATGCTCGCTGCATCTCCAACCGTAATCTCTCTACTTGTCGCATCGCTCTCACCATCTCTGCATCATCCTCAACGGTTGCGCCTGAGTCGAGTGTGGAACTCACAGGGCTTCGACCATCACCCTCCAAGGTGAGGAGCCCAAGGCTACTGGAATCAACTTGGAGCAGAGAACGCTTGCCTTTGTCAAGGTCGTCCGCAGCTTTCTGCAAAACGGATTCTTCCAGTCCAATGGTTTCGTCAGCAATGACACTATGTTTTTTGGGGCGTTGACCTTTGGCGTGTCGAGTTTTGCTGTCTGAGAGTGAAGCCGCACGTTGGTCTCCAAATGTGCTCAAGTCAAGGTTAACTATGGGAATAGAGTCGACATCCAAATCACCGTCGGGTGAGATGCTGCGGTCTCGGTCTGACGCACCAGAAGGACGATCTTCGGTAACGATGTAGAAGGGATCTTCTCTGTTGCGTTCTTTACGCTCGGCCCTCCGCTTAATGGCTGCAGATACATCATTTGATCGACTGTCTGGAGCCTGATATGATAAATCTGGATATAGCTCGACCGTAGCCGACTCAATGGGCAAGCCATGGTAATTGGATGTGTCTCCGACATGGTAAAAGTGTTGAGATGGATGCTGGCTGTCGATCTCGGGGTTCCAGTCTAAATCGCCGAGTAGTGTTGAGAATTCTTTATTGAAAGCTTCGTTCAGAATAAGATGCCCTGGGAAAGGGACTTTTTTCTGAGCGCCCATAGCGACTGGATTGAGTTCCAGCCCAGAGAACAGCCCGGGCATTATGGACGATAACAGAAAAGGTATTGCTTCCGAACCGTGGCGGTCCGCCACTAAAGCATCAGCTGCCAAGCGCACCATTTCGAGAAATTCAATGGCTCTTTCTTGCACATCCAGATCAGGATGAACCGCCAGGGCTTCGAGGAAATTGATAACTTGCGCAAACAAGAGCGATAACTCGCACACCGTTGCTGCATTCCAATCTTGATGTGGGTCATTGGCCACTTGTATGAGCACCTTAGGAACTGCCTGAACGTAGAGGGACAATGCCTTAGCTGGGAGTGACATGTTTGACATGTCGATCAGTGACTGGAGCGTTCGATGAGGGGTACAAAGACAACCCGAATACTCGCCCACTACCCAAGCTAGGGGTCCGAGGGCGTGGCTATCGGTATGAGGCTGAAGGAACAATGCATGTCGGTTCTCAACAGAAATCAGAAGTTCTGCCGCTCTTGTGGCCTGGAGTCGGACACCTTTGACACGGACGGCTATGTTGCGTATTTCTAAACATATTCGGGACATTATGTCGTCTCCAATATCGTCTTCGAGCGCCCGAATGGCTCGCGGAAAACGAGGTTGTTTAGTCTGCTGTGGAAGGAGTTTCATCAATTCTACCAAAAGATCGACGTACCATTCAAAGTCGTACAAATCCGAATAGTTGTTGAAGGAGCATATGTCCAGTATCCGATGCATCACGTCAATCCTATAGCTCACGGGTAAAGTAATGGGTCCTTTTTGATTGTTCAAGTTCTCTGTTGCTGCGGAATGTCTCGATTCAACTGGATCAAATGTCGCAGCATCTTGAAGTTGCTTGAGTAACCGATCGATGACGGACTGGAGCGTGTCGCTTGTGACCATTCTCGCCGCAAGCTCCAGGGCTTGAATTCGTATCGAGATATCGGCATCCTCCAAACAATCCATAATGACATCGCAGTGAACTGATACTAAAGCAGGATGAGAGAGCAGGATCCGATTGAACGCCAGTAACGCGACATATTTGACTTCAAATTTCTTTTAGCACTCACACTTACTGTTCACGAAAAATACTTACGGTTTGGATCGGAGTTGGCGACAATCATTCCTCGAAGTTTCCCGGCACAGAGGCTTGCAACTTCATCCCTCTCTTCAAGTGCTTCATCGCCATCGAGTATGCCTCCTTGAATGACGCCATTGATGCATTCATAGAGCAACGACATGGCGGTCGTCGTTTCAATTATGTTCATCAGAGGTCCAGTGAGTTTCCGAATTAGTCGAGGTTCTAATGGTGTCAAGGTCGCAAACTAGCCTTGTCAGAAGCGTATATCCTGCGAAAAAGGAACGCCATACCAGCTTGACTATCTTGATAGCCATCCAATTATTGCCTCCATCGACTAATAACTCAAAGAGTCTCGGCGCCAGTGGAAGAAAATCACGCGGCCTTCTCCAACCAAGCTCACATATGACGTTGATCACGGCCGTAGTCACACTACTTTCCTCTGCATCATCCATGAGGCGTTCCCTGAGTTTCGGCCATGCAAACTTGAGTGCCTCGGGATAAACCAAAGCAAGTCTGTAGAGACACACGACTGCCTTTTTGCGCACAACACCACGCGAGTGCGAAAGTCGAGATAGAACATCAGGGAGCAATGACATAGCAAGCGAAGGAGTGATAATGTGCGGTAATGTGGTCAATGGTAAGGACATGCTTGGAGTACTTGACGATGTCAGATCCTGTTCCAACGTCAGAGAATTTTTGAAAAGGCAGTTGGGACCTCAAAGACCTTCTTCAAGAGATTCGTTGCCAGCATCAAGACGTCAGTATCGGGTCTAAAGCTTTGAACTGCCCCAAGGTAGCCAGCTCTCTTCTGCAGATATCTCGAAGATGACATGACTTCCAGGACATGAAATGATGCCCATGACATATCGTACCCAAACATCTCCAGATAAACTATTTTCAAGAGTGCCGTTGCTTTCTTATCTGGAATATATTAGCATACTACTTGCCGTATCTTTAAGACCAATATGACGAGGTTGGGATGTGCATACCCATATCTTGAGATTTGATCTCGGCCCTACATTCTCGAAGACTATCTTGTATAAATTCATCCTCTGCCCCTTTATGATTCCTTAACCCTTTGATTAGGTCGTAAAGTGATTTCTCGAACCTAATCACTTCTAATCAGTGGCAAGTTATACCAGCTCAGCAATCAACCCTACATGTTTTAAACAATAATTGAATGAAGGTATATGATGCAACCCTTTGTCTCATAAGAATCAGGTAGATATGCCATATGGCTTCAAACGGCCGCAGATGACTGAATAGAAATTTAAGAAAATACCAAGATTAATTCTCAAAATATGACAGGATTCTATTCCTGAGATCTTTGTCGTGTGGGGTATGTGAAGATAAACTACTATAATGGACATGGTTAAAGTCACGGGAATCCCTAGAATAGTCCAATTGCTAGTATGGAGTACCCCGTACTTAGCTATAACGTCACATTGATAAGCACAGAGCCGCCCTAGACAGACAATTTCTCCTGACTTCTCAGTCCTTGCTTTGGTTTCCCCTGCAGAAATCATTGAATAATAAAGATTGATAAGCACGTTTGCGAAACAATGGGTCGTACGGCTCCAGATCTCCATGCTATTCATGGCTCGGATTTGTTCTCTAGCCTTCGTCTATCACAACAGGCACCCTTGATCCTCAGCCGACGTCTTATGTCAGAGACCAATGCGAAGTCTACCTTGATATTCTCACCGGAGAAGTTTGAGGAATATAGGGAGATCGAACAGCTCTTATTAGCTTGTTTACAGACTGGAGATAACAGGTCAGCACTATCGTGTCTCAATCAACTCGAACAGCGCTTCGGGGCTTCAAATGAGAGGGTCCTCGGGCTACGTGGCATATACGAAGAGGCCATTGCAGAGGATCGATCTTCTCTAGAATCCTGCTTGCGCAAATATGACACCTTACTGCTGGAAAATCCGGCGAACATGGTCTGTAATGATCTTACTAGATAGAGTCTACCCGCTGATTCATATTTGATAGCCTGTTTTCAAGCGGCGTGTTGCCCTTTTGCGTGCATTGTCTCGGCACACAGATGCTATACACAGTCTAATAGATCTCCTGAAGGCTGCCCCTACGGATGCAGAGGCCTGGGTTGAACTCTCAGATTTATATAGGTCTCAGGGAATGGGCCTCCAGGCAATATTTTGCCTTGAGGAAGCATTATTGATTGCACCAAACGCGTGGAACGTAAGTACTTCAGAACACATCACCGTCTATCAGTGGAGAAACTAAACGTTTCTTCCGCTGCCCCGGGCCAGATTCATGCTCATCTCGGCGAGCTTCAATATCTTTGTGCTGGATCTTCCGACCCAGAGCAATCATATCACCTATTGCGGGGGTCGATCCGTTCTTTCAGCAGAAGTGTCGAACTTTGCGATCACTATCTGAGGGGCTTCTATGGCTTAGCTTTAGTGAGTGTTGTCATCGTTCTCCCAGCAACACGGCTTTTACCATAAAACTAATCTAAATGTCCAAGGCCTCTGCGCTCTTGCTCAAAGGCGAAGGGTTCCGAACTTACTTGCAGGATTCTTCATTGTCGCAAGCAGACGATTCCCTCTCAGTAGGGTTGTTCCAGAAGCTGAATGCCTTTGCCAAAACTAGGATCGAGGAAATTGTGAAAGAACGGTCCAAGGGGCGCATGCATTCTGAATACAGCCAAGGCGAGCTCATCGCAGCGAGGGAACTTCTCAATCTTCTCAATGCATCTGACTAAAAGCATTGCCCATCGCTGATTTATTGAATCCCCCGAGAGTTTTATTACGTTGTATCATTTGTCCTTATCATTGAGAGTGTCTCGTGTTGGATCTGGAACTACTCTCTCATTACTTATCTGATTACGCTGAAGCTGGATCCTTGCAGTGGCTAGGTGAATAACATGTCAGTCTTTCAAACGTGAATGAATGACGAGTACACATGAGCTAATCGAAGCACAGTACCTACAATCCGGTTACTGGAGCATGACAAGTTCCTGTAGTATCAACTTTATATAGGCATGACCCACTTATGTCATGGTCCTAGATGGGTGAAGACTTACAGAATAGGTATTCTTCGTGTCGTTACTATTTTTAAGACTCGGGAGGATGATTCTGATGACAGTGTCTGGGGTTGATGTTCATGTTCTGACCTTGGCTTAGAGACTTCCTATTCTTATCTAGATCTTCCTATATATTATGGCTAGGTACATTCCCCCAAACTATGAAGTCATTCCTTGAGAAGAGATAGATATTGACGTATCACTCAGTAGTAAGGTACCTAGTATCTACCTTAGGTTTTTTTTCCAGCTTGAAGGCCATTTATTGGCCAATCATGGGAGGCTGAAGGGCTAGGCCTGTATGAGTAGGTCCCATCTAGAAACCTGAAGACTAAATTTATCATGTCATTCCATTAAAGAATAAATTCCTCAATTGGGCATTCAGGCAGCACAAGGTATTCGCAGGGTGCCTGGGAGGGTATGAATCAAAACCTTGCCAGCTCAGTGCCTAACGACAACGAACCAAACATACCTTACCTAAAACATGAAAAAAAGTAGATTTTTGTCCTCGGTATAACTAAAATGCCCAAACTCCGCCTCAAGCATATCTGGTCAGGCACCTTCCCACATTTGGTTTCTCTTCTTCTCCTGTTGTCACTAATCTCCCAACCACTGTACTGGCTTAAATTCTTCTATTCTTTCCCACTGTGATCAGATACATTTCGGAATTGAGCCATAGCTTCGATCTGAAAGAGATTTCTCATTACCCTTCAACCAGCTTTCGCTAGACTGCGTATTATTGTCAAATCTGGGAACTGTGTTTCAAGAATGAGTGCCACTTTATTTCAGAGATTGGAGAATCAGTGAATGGGATATGAATCATCATCATTGCCTTTTTTTGGATGTGCCAACTAACTCACTGCCCGAACATTTTTGAAGGGTCTCATCGATTCAAGTCTGATCGCTATTCTGGATGGTCATATTTATGTCGCTCGGAACCAACTCCAAGACAAGAATAACTTTTCCATATTCACTTCTTGAAATCTATTACAATCCAATTCTGTCTCAAACAATATTTGACTGATATCTATGACGTACGTTCTGAGCAGCTCGACCCAAGAACAGCTGAGCTCTGTTATTTTGACTAACTCAATATACATAAGCAGGTTCAACATCACCATTGACCCTAGTCGACACGGCTCGGACTCCTCTCTATCTGACGAGGAAGACTCGTCAGGAGTTCAAGTTTCGCCGCCCTCTGAGTCCGGAAGCCATGAATATCAAGACCCATATGATGAGTGGGCTCACTTACCATATCCGGACGAATTGAAGCCATCTGATTCGGCGTCACGGCCCAGAGCGTCAAATCGCACGCGAAACCGCAATCCGACCCATGGCTCATCATCAGGTCCGGCCCGCCGTCACTCTGCGAGACGTCATGTTATGCCAGAAAGGGAGTCATTTATCCGTCGATCCCGCCGTCAGCCTTCCCCAGACTCCCCAGAGAGTGTGGATTCCGCTGAGGAATATGCGAGTCCGTATGGTCGAACATCCCACGAGAGAAGGCTCTGGCCGCCCATTGCTCAAGGCTCAAACTACGCACATAGCACGTCACCGGGGCCATCCTATGTGTATCCAAACAGCGGCATATCGCCCGGAGCCTTTGCGCATTCTGGTCTACATTCACCATCTGATCAACTTGTTAGACTGAGTCACCATCATCAAACAGGTCATTCGGCAGCGTACAGCCATCCTATCTATGGGTACGGGCCTCAATATCAACATCCTCATGGCCCCCCAATGCCGACGTTCTTCATGCACGAACATCATCCTGGCCACCACATGCCGCAAGTACACCCTTCTAGCCAAGGGAGAAGTGACGGGCATAGCCCACCACAGCAATCAATACCACATGCAGTTCCACCACATGGCCCATCACACTATGGCGGAACCCCTTTGGGCCCTCACGAACTTATTCCATACGGGCCGGGAGGTTATTACCCATTCAGAGAACCCTACGCCATGGTGCCTGGAATGGTACCTCCGCCCTATCTCAACACCTACCCACGCGTACCATCTCCCAGCCAGGGGGAATCAAGTCCATCTCCAGTTCCTGCCTCTGCGGAAGTGGCTAAGGATGAGGCAATTGCAAGGCTAGAGAAGTTGATCTTAGAAGAAAGGACGGAACGCGAAGCGAAAGAGGCGCGAGAGGCTGCGATTCGAGCTGCAATTGAAAAGGAAGCCGCCGAGCAAGCTGCCCGAGAAGAGCGTGCTGCGCATGAAAAGAAACTCGTCGAGGACGCCGCCGCTGCCGCTAGAGCGGAGGCGGAACAGAAGGCCGCTGAAGAGGCTGCGAAAGCGAAGAAAGAGGCCGAAGAAGCCGCCAATGCCGCTAGAGCGGAGGCGGAACAGAAGGCTGCTGAAGAGGCTGCGAAAGCAAAGAAGGAGGCCGAAGAAGCCGTTGCCGCCGCTACAGCTGCCGCAGCGAATAAGGCCCCAGAAAAAAAGAAACCTATCAAATTCAAAGATGCTGTCGGGAGGAAGTTCAGCTTCCCTTTTGATTTGTGCTGCACATGGCAGGTATGGTCCCCTCTTACTCTTGCGCAGATTCTCTTTTTCTAAAATCAAGGGTTTAGGGGATGGAAGAACTAATACGGCAGGCTTTCCTCCACATTGAGGTGATAGGGCCTCATGTTGCAGAAGGTCATTATGATCTAGTAGGGCCAAATGGGGATATCATCCTCCCGCAGGTCTGGGAAACAGTGATTGAACCGGACTGGACCATTACCATGCATATGTGGCCCATATCAGAGAAGCCGAAGAGTCCTGAGCCTGCTGCATCTTCAGAGGCTGCTACTGCCCCGGAAACTCAAGCAACTGCGGAAACCGGTCCAGGAGCTGCTGATAGCCCAGTCGTCGTTGCTCCCGATGATTCAAAGAAAAAATCTGAGCCGGCAGCAGGTATGTCTAGATTTCTTTTCAAAATGACTGGTGATAGTCTTGTCAAGGGTTCCATTTTTTGCTCGACTGATTGATTCGAATTTGCTACAATGGCGTGTTATTCTCTCCAAGTATTAACCTAGCGTTCGACCACAGGTACAAAGAAGCCTCGCTCGAAGGGGCCCGATCCCGGCGCTTTTGCCATGTGGATGGTGGGTAGCAATCGTTTGAGATTCAACAAGGCTTTAAAAGCGGGAAAAAAGCCTAAAGCATTCCAACATCACGGAAGCTCTTGCCGTGTTATGTGATAGGGTCGTCTCCTGGGCGGTTAGCTGGTAGCTATCTCTGGCTATATGCATTGACAGTTGAACAGCACAGACTCACTGTTGAGATCATTAGTCATGGCTCGTTCTCCGCGGACTCTGTGCATGGCGGGTATTCATCTGCCAGGCAGCCCAACGACATACTGGGATACCAGACTTGCTCTATCATGGTCTGCTTTGGAGGGGCATGGCTTTTCCTCTCGACAAGCTCGGGATTGGTTTCTCATGCCTCGGTGATTGGAGTTGGTAGTCTTTTTATCATATGTTGAGTTATGTTAAGATCAAGCATTGGATTACAGTGAGACTTCATTTTTTTCCCCTGGTTATATTGTTTGGGGAGGGGCCGGGGGGATGTTCTGGAATAATATCTGTCTTTATCTGTGAGGGAATGTGTGATGGAATGTGTGCACTGGAGTTTTTATATACCCATAGAGCATGATTGTCACCCTTTTTAAGACTGTACTTCAATCCACCACTCCTCAATTAACATCAGACCCAGTTAGCAAATCAGACTATATGATTACCATAGGCTCCTAGCAAAGAAATGGTGTAGAGCTTTCTGTTCCAGGAAGCATACTATACATTTCTCTACTAACTGATAGTATAAGTCATGCCTACTAGATTATGACAAGCAGTCACTAATAGCAAAACGAGTAAGGACATAGGGACAAAGTATTGTCATACAAGCACAGCTTCATAATCAGGTTCATGAAAGAAAGGTGGATGAACTATGGATTATTCTGGTAGCAAAGGCTCCCACTTGATCTCTAGATTCACTTCATCATCAAGTAGGTCCTTGGTGATGCCTGTGTGACTTTCAAATCCGCGAGGGTCCCTGGATCCAATGCTTAGAGAGTCTTGATCCCCTGGAACCCTGCATTCAGTAAGTGAAGTTCTAATTGGGCCGTTCACATCGAACCTCTGAGCATCGAGTTGATCACTTGGCTGCGACGGAACGCTCTCCATTGCCTTCGGACTGGGCTGTGGTTCAGCTAGGCCCGACAAGGCTTTATGATTGTTGCTTAGAGCGACAGGTTTCCGAGGTACTGGTGGTGGTTTTTTGGGCCCATCTGCTCTGGCATATCGCATGTCAGTGTCTTGGATGGAACCTGATGAATTCGCCGCTCCCCTCCCACCACGTGGGGGCAATGGAGGCTTGTATGTGATGGAATCTACGTTATCCACCACGGCTTTTTGCCTGTCTATTAATCTTCTCGCAGGTACCCAATCAGTGGCATTTCTTGAAGAAAATGGGTTGGACTCGCGATTCATATTCAGTATCCATCCACCTGAAGGCGGCCGTACAACTGATTTCACTGGCGCACCTGTCCCCGTATGAATGTTAGAATAGTTCAGTCACGAGGATATTTACCGAGAACCAATCCAAGATCCGAGAAGACATACCATTATCCAACCACCATCTCTGATCGTCTGAGCTGGCTGGTGGAAGGCCAAGAGTAAGAAAGTCTAGTTCAGCTGACTCTCTATTATGCATTTTTGCCTGATTCATTGACCTTGCCCAGATGTCGGGTGCATCATCTATCTCCGTTGCATAGATCATGCTCCTGATATTCTCCTTTAGGTAATCGTCAACAATATCAATGTCGCAGGAAAAGAGGGCCCACACAGGACGATGATCTGAACACTGTAAACAGGCCGAGTCGTAATGCATCTGATGGAGATTTGATCCTTTCCACAGAATTCTGTCGCACCATGCAGGGATGCGGGCCTTTTCCCTGCTGAGTATTAGTCTTCCCATTTGAAGAAATGTGGTGAAGAAAGAGCGCATATCTTACGATGTATCGTAATCATTTGTGCCAACGTCATATTTATAAGTCGGTGGAAATGCAATGAGCCCCTCGCTGTAGAATTGAAACACATTGCCCGCCATCATTTGCAGATTTAGCTTCAGCTTGAATTAGCGCATAGACCTTTGATTGAGTAAATCACAGTACCTGATCATTGTCGTGCAGCTTTTGATAGTTCCGTTGCGTTGCCAGGTCTCTGACGATCTTATTACTGAGACCTATTCGATAGTTGAAGTCACCGAGCCAGATGATAGTGTCATGATCATCAATCGTTCTGTTTTTCTGGAACCTAAGACCTCGGCAGATTGTCTCATAGTCCTTATTCCTCTCTTCATAGTTCGCGAATCCAGCTGCAAGGTGAGCAGTCACGAAGCATATTCGAGTCTTTGAATATTCGAAGCGGATAGCACAGCCTCCTTTATTGCCGCTGATTCCTGACAGACCCGTCTTCCTAATCGTTAGATACTCATAATGAAGCAACACTTCTTGTACTGGAGACTCACTTTCCTGACACTGCCCTCAACATTCTTTATATCTCTGAGTATATCTTCTTTCACAAATATCATAAGAGCCGCTCCAACCAGCTGGCCACTCCGCAAAAGAACGTACTTTGCACTCCCCATCTTGTCTGCACGATTATTGAGACAATTTCTGACAGCGGCCTCCCACACCTTGCGAGGAGTGGGGTCGGTCGACATGATTTGTTGTGGATTTAGTGCAACAATTTCTTGAAAGCCAACGGCAAAGATACTTGGATCCTCGCTTCGCTGATAGGGGTGAGAAAAGAGCCAGGGTGTTAAGTCGTTATCAGGGCCCTCATGGCGTCCATTCACGTTGAATGTTCCGGTCCAGATCTGGACTGATTTCTTGTAAGAATATTCGGATGCTCGCTGGGCCAGTTTCTCGGAGACTATATCATTTATCGGGTCAAAGAGCTGTACTGGGGCTTCATTTGCTAGCCGTCCTAGTAGTAAATCTATCGTCCTTTGTCGAGCTTTGTCGGAGAAGTTGTTCACATACAGCCGCGTGGCAGTCTTACGTGCATCTGCAAGGGCACCAGCGAGAGACATTCTTCCATGTCGCGTGAACGAGCTTTTCAGCGCACCAGTACCAGCGTAGATCCGCGACAAAGCATCCCCGTTGTCAGCCCAAAGGGTCGAGTGTCTGAGCCGAAGTTCGGGAGTAAGGTGAGCTTCCTGCTGACGAAAGAATGATTCAAGGGCCATCATGCTAATGATGGTCTGTACGAGGTTGGTTCTGTCAAGGCAATCTAGACAATTTGTCCGAAAAATGCCCTCTTGCTGTAGAACGACGGATGAGGCCTTTGCCTCGTTGCCGTAGGAAGTGCTCTCGGACAAGAAATATCCGAAACCATCCACAGAATGCACAATAACATCCTTGATTTGATCGCTAGCTCCATAACCAAGCGGACCGCGTGCCTCCGCATGAAAATCAAATTCCGTCATTTGAAGTAACATATGGTCGGAGACGGCATGGGCGTTAGCCTTCTGGTTAAGTGGACTTCTGCTGACCAATTCTTGAAATCTCGTTGAAAGCTCGACTTCTCCAGGTTTCAGAGCGCTTAGGAGATTAACGATATGCACAGCGCCGTATCTTGATTCAAGACTTTCAAAATGTTTGTCAAAGGCGTGTTTGGTTGCCTCGCTCGACCTGATTACCTCGATCTTCTGCTGGCCAGGGAAGAAGCCCGGTGCTTGTTCCCAAAAAATGGGCACAGAACCACGAATCTGGACGTAGGAGAAAGTGAGGCCAGAGGGGATCCAGAGAACAGTTTCCGTTTCGACGAAATTTGCAACGTTTCCGTCATCGTCAATGCCCCTGGAGTTAAATCTCGTACCTGCCCGTCGAGATGACTGGCGTGATATAACAGTCAACGTTGATAGGAAGTGCGTTGGTGTTTGCGAAACTATCGGTCCAGAGGTGGGAATGGTCAAAGTGCTACAGAATCCTCGTATTACGCATGTCAACATTCGAGACATGTCGAGGTGCAGCTTCTCGGGGAAGGACAAGCGGCTTCTGAGGAGAAGAAGAGGGTTAATCATGTATGAGTTCCAAAGCATGTCCTCATCTAAAGAGCCCATGTCGAACGCATCAGCTTTGTCGGAGCTGACAATATGTCAGCAACTACTGTAGATCTATGGGTTAAGCATCTCTATCGGCTTACCGGTTTTGCAGCCGATCGGTGAGATCGAAATCGAGACTATAGTAGAAACTGCCATCACTCAATAGCTTCTTCAACGCTAAGAAAGGGTGATCAGTGACCATTTCTTTATTTTCACCCCGGTTAAGTTCTTCGACGGCAAACTCAGACTCGGACTCATAATAGAGACCATCTTCATAGCCCGAATGGTTGAGGCAAACTGCTTTGGTCAGACCAAATAAGATCAGTGAAGGGCTGGGAGCTATTACAGAAGTGCACGTTGTCGATTCTCCATACAGTTTCGCCAGGCCTCACTGTTGCGGCCTTGGAAGTACCGGTCACCACACATAAGAACACATCTCCGTCCAGAGCGATTAACCCAAGCGTACCATGCCCATCGCCTAGACAGCGGTAACTTGTTAAGTCCACGGAAGACAAACTGGAGAATTCAACCAAGCAACGGATCGTGCCATGTTCGTTCTTTCTAGTACTGTTGTCCACTTCTGCTGCGATGGCTCTAAAGATCAAAGCATTGTCGGTAGTGGCCAGAATCAGAGTACGTTGAGGATAGTCTCGGCAGAAGACTCGCAGAATAGGCATTCTTCGGATAGAATATCAGATTTTAATTCTCATAGTGGGTATATATTAAGTGTATCGAGAATTTCTGAAAGGAGTAATCTTGCAGCTCAGACCCATTTCTCAAAGGGACTGGTTCAGTGGATTAAGTGATTAACGGCATGTTATAATGCTTGGGCATTAGTTAAAAGAGTCAATATTGGTATGTGAGAGATAACATATTCTCCGTAGGTCGAGTGTTATCCAAGGTGATCATTTTTAAACCGTTGGGATTTTGGAACAGTAAGGTCATCGCCAAGGCCCTAGGAAGACCATATTAGGAGTACCTGATAAAGTACAGACTAAAAGTACTTAACCTGTCATGAGTGTCATCTACTCTAATATTATTATTATTACTTTAGATAGCAGAAACATACTGTATGGAGCATTCCCTTTGTATAGAGTACCTAGGTAGGTAGGGTGTATCAAAGAGGGTACCTATGAAACTAAGCATAATAATACTCCGTACTCCGTATTCAGGTACCATATCAAAGAAAATATTTTTCCGCTCTTTATCTTTAATCAAGTTCAAAAAAAAAGCGCCTACAACCGCTACCCATCATCCTCTCTAATTATTCCCCTGGCGCACTTTTGCTTTTTCTTTCCATTCTCTCTCTCGAATCTCTTTTTATTTCCTTTCGATTTGTCTTCCTGGATTCCAGAATAACATCTTCAAATTGCAGCATTTTGGTCTAGACTTCAAGACTCAGTCAGATCAATACTCCATCTTTTCTATCTCCATTCAAAATTCTCCTCGCTCCTATCGCAAATGGGCCTGGCGGCGCCTCGCAAGTGAATTTCTCAAAAAATAAAAGGTCACTGCGATCAGAGTCACTGACCAAACTATATAGGAAAACCAAAATTTCACATGATCCCAACAACACCTCTTGGTCAAGATCAACAGATGGGTTTGGACACAGGATTCTCAAAGCTCAGGGCTGGACTCCCGGTAGCTTCCTCGGCGCCCGCAATGCCACTCACTCTGATCTATTCACTACGGCTAGCGCATCACATATAAGAGTTGTCTTGAAGGATAACACATTAGGCCTGGGAGCTCGGCCAAGGAGGGACCTTACGGATGAACCTACTGGCTTGGACGCATTCAAAGGATTGCTAGGCCGGCTCAATGGCAAATCTGATACACAACTTGAAGCGGAGCAGCAAAAGCGGAATGATGCTAAATTGGCTCGATATGCTGCAACAAAATGGCAGACTGTCAGATTCATTAGTGGTGGACTTCTTGTGCAAGAGAAGGATAATGCCGTGGCTTCCCAGGCTTCTCAGAGCCTTCCCGTTGACCTTTTACGAAAAACCTCCTCCGAAAATGGCATATTGAAGACGGAGCCCACGGATTGCGACTCACAACGCACAGGTTGTGCCACGATCAAGAAGAAGGAGAAGAAGGAGAAGAAGGAGAAGAAGGAGAAGAAGGAGAAGAAGGAGAAGAAGGAGAAGAAGAAGAAGGAGGAGGAGGAGGAGATGATGAGTCTTAAAGAATCCCGCGAAAAGAAACAAGAGAAGAGGCAGAAGAAAAGGAAAGTTAGTGATTGTGACGGTCTCGATGCGGAAGCAGCGGACAAATCGTCTTCAAAAGTCCTTCTAGCGAGCGCAAACGATAAAGGTACGAGTGTACTAGCCTCGAATAGCCCGACAACATCGAGGGAACGCCAACCTATGGGGAGACGGATCTTTCGAAGCCGGCATATTGAACAAAAGAAGAGAGCCCTCATGGACGATAAATCTCTCAATGAGGTATTTATTCTCCTTTCCTTTTTTAATCCGTTTCTGTTACGCAGAGGCTAACTGACACAGATATTCATGATCAAAACATAATATTCGCCGGCTAGCTCATCTCAACTCACATAGACGCCTGTGCTTAAGACTCATGCACCTTGAAAGAATAGGATCCTGTATTCCCGGTAACTTAGATGCCGAGTCAGTCTTGACCTGATGGTGTATTGACTTGCATGGGTCTTGGTCACAATTTCTCCGAGTAATTGCCCATCATGTGCCTTCTAAATCATTTCTTTACATGATGTCACGGCTTTGTAGTTCAAGCCGAGGCTATACCAAGTATTGATTTCCTGGGCACTTTGATGGTTTTCAAATGTATGATCGGAGCCCAGGCACGGAGAGGTCTTGGAAGACCTTGTTCGCAATTCACATTGTCGACCCTTTGAGCGGGATAGTAGCAAAGACAGTAATAAAGTTTGATCTTCGAATTTTGAAAGCGGTTTTATCGTCGGGTTGATAGATCTTATAAGAGACGGCCATTCTTGATCCCCACTTTCCCCAACATATGTACTACCCAAGTACCAAAGGTGCGAAACATAACTTACACTCCCCAACCTCCCAAGCTCTCAATGTACTCTCAGTGAAGTACTAAATTAATATGAATGCAAGTTATAAATACAGAGTACTCCGCACAATATCTAATACTCTTCATGGCAGAACTGCAGACCCGCCTTCGAACGTCATATCACTCATAAGGGATCCCAGTGCCCACCGCGAACTGGTTTAGATCAAAGCTCTCAATCATCTGCAACTCTGCTGAATTCGATTCTTCGATCATTTTAGGATCCGACTGTGCGTTTGCCAAAGTGAGATACGAATTGATACCAAACTTCCGCCTTAGCTAAGAACTTCGGATTAGGCGAAAGAACTACCTTTGCTGGAGAACCCGGACATCGAGCCGTTCAGTCTACTTCTGAGTAGATTCCTGCCTACCTTGCACACTTGGAGTTTGTTTTCACTTCTTCGGATCAATAATGCCAGACCAAGAAAATTTACAAACTGGGAGCCTACTGCAGCACCCTGAGTCGGTGATTCAGTCCTCATCTTCGGGCAAAATCAGTTCGAGCCCGGAGGCCCAGACCGAGCAGAATACATCGCGCCTAAACCATCTCGTGCAAAGCGGCAATCAATCCCGGGATCTTGTTGCAAATAACATTGAAGAATTAGCGACAAGTTTCTGTTCTCCGAAAAAACCAATTGACACCCAAGCGATACTAGCCTCGCATGATCTTTCTCAGTCAGGGACCTGCTATTCAGAACCGGGAAGGCATGCATCCAGGAGTCGGTAAGTTCTAGTATCTTTCGAATCCCCTTTTTGCGTTTGCGGTCCTGCGCGCGATATAGTGTATGGTAGCATCGAGAGTTTCTGAGAGTGCTGGCTGATAATGGTTAGGGGCATCCATTGGGCTCCCTTGAATATCGGTCTCGAAAGACGCATGCAGACGTTCGTGGTCCTATGCCACACTTTGACAATCGCTATTTTTTTAACATTTTTCTTCTTCGCTTGTGCCATACCCCTATTCTGGCCCCTGTTACTCCCCTATCTAGTTTATATTTCACTTTTTTCATCCTCTGCAACGTCTGGAACGTTGAGCGGGCGTAGCGATTTCTTGCGTTCGCTCCCGATATGGTCGCTTTATGCCTCTTATTTTCCTGCTTGCTTGCATCGCTCTGAAGCGCTCCTTCCAACACGAAAATACATATTCGGCTATCACCCACATGGCATTATTTCTCACGGTGCATTTGCAGCATTTGCTACTGAAGCACTCGGATTCTCGAGGTTGTTTCCGGGGATCACAAACACCTTGCTTACCCTTGATTCGAATTTTAGAATCCCGTTCTACAGAGAATACGCTCTTGCCATGGGGCTCGCCAGTGTTTCCCGGGAGTCATGTGAAAATCTACTGTCTAAAGGTGGTGCTGACGGGGAAGGCATGGGCCGTGCGATTACAATTGTCATTGGTGGGGCTCGGGAGTCCCTTGACGCTTTACCTCACTCTCTACGTCTTGTTCTAAAATGCCGCAAAGGATTCATAAAGTTAGCAATTCGCACCGGTGCTGATCTTGTGCCAGTACTTGCTTTCGGCGAAAATGATCTCTATGAGCAGGTGCGATCCGACCAGCATCCTATTATATACAAGTTTCAGATGCTCATTAAGCATACGATGGGGTTCACGATCCCGCTCTTTCATGCTCGTGGGGTTTTCAATTATGACGTGGGACTGATGCCTTATCGACGTCCATTAAATATCATCGTTGGTCGGCCTATTCAAGTCGTCCAACAGCGGGACAGAGACAAGATCGACGAGAAGTACATTGATAACCTTCATGACAAGTATATACAAGAGCTTCGACGGTTGTGGGAGCAATACAAAGATGTCTTTGCAAAGGACCGAATCTCTGAAATTGAGATAATTGCATGAAATGGCCTCGACTTCATCTTTTGATGCACTCCTGGAGACAAAGAACAAGGAGAAAAAAAAAGCTAAACAAACTTCCGGCAAGCCTGAAATCACACTCCACCGCTGGCCAAACCATCAGATGGATATTCCAGAGTCTATGCCCACAAACGAGCGATGTTGAAGTGATTCCCAGGAAAGAGGCCTTGGTTCTGCCAAGGTAGGCCTGTGGGGCAATATAGCTTGAGGCTGTTGATCGATAACCTTCGGCCCATTGGCTTGATACCATCATATCTCTCTACTTTAAGTCGGGAATCATTTTCAGGTGTCTTAGAAACATGACATGTTGTATATATGGTGTCTACGAACTTCGTCTGGGATCGCCCCTACATGACAGATATTTCCTGGCAATTCTGTCAGAGGGATCACTCATAGTAACAACGTTCCTGCTGGGATTCCAGTCTCTCCATTGCCAAAGGGAGATTCAGTTCCAAGATAAGGTGGGATGTGCTCTAGAGGTTTTTAAGTCCCGGCAATGTTAGAACAAATTTGATAGAAGTTCCACCTATTCTCTGATTCAGAGGCAGTCCTCATGCTAAGATGCCTGGTTGCATGTGATGGATGAAGTGTGTGAATGACGGCAAGATCTCAGGAATTAAAGATTAAGCCTGAATTCTTGCTTCACCTTCTTGGGAATCTTCCTGTGTTAAGATAGATCTTCACACTGCCACTAACCTATTCAGACAGATTTTCTCCATACCATCACCATGCTCTTTAGCTACATTGATTATTCTAAGTCGCAGATAGGAACTTTGAATGAGCATGTTTTAATGTGCAGAGTGAAGCTAGATTAGTTGAATCAATTTAATATAAATATCTCATTAAGTGCAAAGGGAAAAGAACATGGGTATCTAAATATGCAGCGGAATCATGACTACACTTACCAGCAGATGGTAGCCTCCTGATTTCATCAAGACCACCTTCAAACATTAAGGCCAAAACTGGCAGCTCACACCTGTAGTCATAACCAAGTGTCTAAGAACATAAAACAAAAGAGATAGGAAGGAACAGACTCAGTAGGAAGGTGGCTCGGGATATTCGGGGGAGATTGTGGACGGCGGGAGATTGTGGGGGTGGAAGAGAAAACCAGTTGGGACTGAAGGACGAGTTGAGAATGATTTGGGCGACAGAATCTCACTCATTCACATCATCACATTTGTCCCATGTTTTTCTGAGATTGTGCTAGCCGTGTTTAAGGCAGGGATACCTGCCGCCGGTTCAAGTGTTCGTTGCTTTTCATCAGCAACACGAACACTTCCGCGAGATCCCTTGACTAAATGACCGCTCTCCACCCTATCTTGTATCATTTCATCGAGTATTCGCGAGACTTCGTCCATGCTCTTTCCATCTGGTCCTTTCTCATCAGATTCGGGGGACGAAAGGGAACCAGGTGCGCGAGTATATGATGGCATAATGCCGCCATTACTACTCAAAGACGCACGCTTGATTTTGGGATCCGCAGCGCATGGGTCCGTTGTGACATGTGCGAGATCCCAGTGTCGTGCGGCAGACCGAAGTGCTGCAAGCATTCGATCCTTATCATCCAGTTGCAAGCGGAGTTCGTTGATTTCCATATCTTTCTCACGGAGCAGAGCCCTGAAATCCGGCCCTTCTGAGGGAGGATTTACTGACTTCACACCCATGGATATCCGAGAGTGACTTGAGCGACGGGCTTGCAATAGGCGTCTTTCTAGCGTTGAGATATATCGATTCTTATCGTTAAGATCAGCCTGTAGAGCAGCAATTTGTCTTTGGGCGCTTGCTCTTCCGTCTGCAAACTCTCCCATGATATCGTCCTCTTCGTGTTCAAGAGGTCCATTTGGAAACGGCAAATGCGCCGAGATTTCAGTGCTGTTGGTGGACAGAAAGGAAACAGGCCGCACCGATGAAAGGCCGCACGCACCCAATGTAGATTGACTCACAGATGACCGCAGAGACCGAGAAATGGAGTCGGTAGTAGACATCCTAGAAAGCCGCCCGAAGGCGGCTATGCCGTTATGACTATTGACTCCAGTGGATTTAGAGCAGAGGATCAGACGATTGAGATGTTCAATACGTTCTTTCAGCGCTGTTCGGGCCAGTTGCATTTCAAGCATTTGCTCCTCGTGGCGCGCTTTCGCCTCCTTCTCCAATTGTTGCTCTTCCAGTTTTAACTCCTTCTCAGCTTGATCCTTTGCCTGACTTTCGAGCTGACTGCGTAGTGTTTGAATCTCCATTCGGTAGCGCTCCAGAAGAACTCGGCTGCCAGCATCGCCCCCGCCACTGCCGAAGGCTTCCTCTGCCCTCTTAGCGTGGCTGACGATGCTGTTCTTAGCACGCGCTGCGAATTTCAGCGTGTTTAGAGTCTCCGTCGAGAGTGGACCCGCTGTTGCTGAGCTGCCAGAGCCATCAATTTGAATTGTACAGAGGATGCTGACAAGAGAATTCCCTGAAAGAGCCGGTTGTAGCAGCCGTGTAAGCTTGCTGTCACGATACGGAAGATGTCTGCCTTCGCGATCAGCTGAGTTTCCGCCCTTATCCTTGTTCTCCGAGAGCTTTGCGATGATTGTGCCTAATGTGAGTAAGCTTTTATTGATATGAGCACCTTCCGTCCGACGCTCTTTATCCTCTGCAGCGCGCTCTGACCCGGCCAAATCGATCAAGCTCAGGGTCGACACTCTGACTCCCCCTGGCGCCATACCGGAGCGCCGTTCTTGGGATGGGTTGCTCGTTGGTGCTCGTTCTCTGCTCTCCACAACAATCTGCACGACCGCATGACTTCTGGAACTACGAGCATTGAATTGCGTGCTACCCGTTCTCCGTGCAAGATCACCTCTGGCGATTACACGCAGAAGCTGGGTAGGACTTTGCACAATCTCTTCCTTCAACGGAGTTGCATACACTCCTCGTTTGCTGTCTTCGCGGAGTTTGATCTCCTCCTGCTGAGAACTTGCAAGTCCAGTAGACCCTGACATAGAGAGCAGGTCATGAATCTTTTCGTTGTAGATTTCCAGATAGCTGACTCGAAGCAGGAATTCCCGGTGCGGCGTCTCTCTGATGAAAGAGAAGATATCTGTTATTGCTAATGGTATAACACCGGGGGAGGTCGCGGTTCCTTGCATAGAGAAGGTTTTGCCAGTCCCGGTCATGCCATAAGCAAAGACTGTTCCGTGATATCCTTCCATAACCCTTCTCACAAGGCGCTTGGCCGCGGCGTCGTAGACTTTGGCATTGTGCTCGTGCGGCGGAAAGACATTGTCTGTTGTAAAAGTAGATTAATCAATCAGCCATGCAAATTGTCAGAGAGGTCATGATCTAGTTGCGCACCATATAAATAGTCCACCGCCCCTTCCTTTTCTTTGTAGGAGATTAGGCCGCGCCGACCGTCAACCACCCAATCGCCGTTAGAGGCCGAACCATCTGTCCCGGTCAGATTGGGACGTACACGAACGCTGACAATCACATTTCCTTTCACTTGCTTGTTTTTCGGATTGGACTTGGCAAGCCCCGTAGCATCATCCGCATCTTCACACGTGGTTGCACTTGTTGAGTACGATCCTTGGGCTGAGGAGCTTCGGCTCTGGGTAGGGGAGGCTTCTTGTTCTCGGGAGTCTAAGACAAGACCATTTCTGCCGTCCCCATGTCCGTTCAATAGGGAAGGGGGTCTTGAACTTCGATAACTGCTGGTAGTCCCTGAACTTAATCTCGAACCACCTTTGACTCTCGCGCTGCCAAGCGGAATATTATGAGAACCCGAGATCGCAGAAGCGACAGAAGAACGGCCATTGACTTTTGGAGGCTGGGGAAAGGCCGCGATGCTTATCGTCCTGCGAAGCGACTTCTCAGGGCTGGCCGGACTCCGACCTCCCGACGCTGACCTCAATATGCCTTGGCTAGAGGTTGAGCTTGATAATCGGGACCTGTTAAAATTGGATCTGGGGCTGGAGGGCGTGCGCAATTTCGAAGTTGAATGTGATGGAGATGACGCCCTTTGTATGTCATTTGGTAGGGGCAAGCTCTTTCTGACTTTCGGGGCTGGCAACGGCGGCAGAGTACCAGCCGGAGGACTCGCGGCTGGTCGGGACGGTTCTGGTATGGTGGACATAGAGCGCTTATATGTTTGGAGGTCTTTCGTGTTTGTTCGTTGCACTATCGTGATAAATGGACCAACTTGAGAAGGGTTTCAGATTAGAAGTGGCATGGTCTTGGGGAAAAATGAAGGTGCGCGAGCTTGCGAAGCCGATATGAAAACAAGCTATTATCTGGGCTGGCAAAAGTTAGATAGGGAGCATATGGAGCATCATTATGGCGATAAAACAGGAAAGGCCCGGTTTATGCCTCAGATGAATTGATCAGAAATGAGAACATGGAAATTTCATACAGGATCAAATCAAGACAAGCTCCACTGGTACCGACAGTGTTCGTAGGAGGCCATGTCGGAGGAACAGAGAAGAGATAGATAGAGGCAGAAATATAGGCTGGATACAAAGTGAAGCCCGAGAACTTACAGCAAGGTGACGACTGTCTTGTAGTGGCGATGTAGGCCTGCAAGCCACCTCGAGTACTTGCGATGATACAGAATTTGGACACTGCTGGAGCATTCAATCGTGTGTGAACCTGAAGCCTACAGCAGCTGGAACCAAACAATCGGGCGTATTGTGGCTGTTCGATGCTGTTATGTTCCCAATCAACTCACTCCAAGCAAGTATTGGAGCGCCTTCTCGTAGCGTTTCTGGGTATTATCGATGGAGACAGGTGAGAAATGATCTCATGTAATTTCGATGGAGCGAGCGCTAGAGAATATACAGGCAGAGACCAACAACTAGGATGAATAGCGCTGTAAGTAAGCGTAGAAAAGCCAGGTGTTGGACTGAAGATGGTCAGGGACGTCGTCCTCCATCCTTTTAGCTCGATTTTGTTAGTCGCGTCTAGTCTGGTAGATACGGACGGAGTAAAGGGAGCGGGATTGAATCTCCCCTTCCCTG